TCCTTCTTCCACTGAAGGAGCTCCTCAGCTCCTCCTCAGTCCTGTGCAGTGTGAGGTGTTGTCCATGATGGAGGTGAATTTGACTAGCACCTCCTGTCCCTCACCTGCTCCACAGAGTCCAGGGGCCTCCTGTCCCTGACCTCATCCACAGAGTTCAGGGGCCTCCTGTCCCTGACCTCCTTCACAGAGTCCAGGGGCCTCCTGTCCCTCTCCTCCCTCACAGAGTCAATGGAGCAGCCCTCCTGACCAGCTTGTTCAGTACTCCAGTCCCGTTCTGTGCAGCGTAGTGCCGGGATCATATACAGCTTATACATATACATTTATTTAATGTATAAGAATATAGACATTACCAAACATCATGTTGTTAATGTGCGGTTGAGTGAAAATATTAAAAGTATGTACACTGTAAAAAGTGCAGCAGACCAGCCTTTATGTATGATATTGACAAATAAGTGCTGTATAGCATTGATTTTATTGCTTCAGGTGAAAATACTTGAACATGTTTTTTTGTAAGCGTGGTGGTTCATTAGTGACACAACAAAAAATTTGTTGATTCAAAACAAAATGTACTTGGCGAGGCAGTGACGCTACCCAGAATGCTTTGCTGAACAAAATATAAGCAATTATTCTGAAAAATTCCTCATTTGAGCATTAATTTTAAGAGTGAAAATAAAGCAAGTCCTAATACAAAATACTTAAAGGAGCAGTATGTAAAAATCTGGCCAAAAGTGGTACTGCAACCTCTCCCACTCCTTAACTCTGGTTTAGAGAACTATCTATTGCTCATTACCTTTGTGCAGGACGCCACCTTGTGGAATCTAAGCGTAACTGTAGCATTTTTTTATACGGATGAATGTTAAAGATAAGAACAGATCAGAAGTATTTGGGACAGACGCACGGAAAGAGTCACAGTTGCTGCTCGTGAGCTTCTGCCACAGACAATCAAATAAACCTAATTAAATTTATCAAAACAGGAGTTATCTCAGACTTCAGAGAACCTTTCACCGACACAGATCAGAGAATCAAACAGTCCAGGCTCATTCCTCTGTCCATAAGACTGTCCATAAATGTTATAGATCTGGGTTAGTCCCCATGCTCCCATGGGCTTCCATGTCGTGCACAGCTCCAAACTAAATTATAGATCGTATAACCATAGCTAAATCAATCACTGAGTCTCCCATGGCCATTCCACAAGAACCTAAAAAATTAAAATCTGTATTTAGAAGTGAACTGTACATAGCACTTTCCGATCACCAGCAAACATACATGTAGACAAATAATAACATTTAAGTGTACCCAAGATAAAGTTAATGTCAGAGGTTTCATATTCTTCATAAAAATACTGTTTTTTGTGTAAAATTGTAGAAAATTTTGTGCAACCTGTAAGAATAAAGAAGAGGAGGAAAACTCCTCTTCATCATTTTTGACAGCAGGAGAATCTCTGCCATCTCCTGCTGTTTGCACTGAGCAAAAACATGTTTGGCTGCGTCTACAAGGGGAAAAAACGGGTCAAGATAAAATGTCACTAGTTTAGGTTAATATGAAGAATAATAATAAACGCACAACATGATGTGTGTTTGGATAATTATTATGATTATAATAAACAGTGTTTAAAGCAGGATATGAAGCAGGTTAAACCACTGAGCCGTGTTATAATTACACTCTGTCAAATCCTGACAGAACAACATTGATTAAAGTCATAGTGTCAAAGTCAATAAACACATAACATTTAATAACAATGTGTTCATTGATTTTATTTATGAATACAATACAATCCTGATATGACAGTATCTGGTGTTAGACAACACAAAAAACATTCTCAGATTTTAATGACACACACTTTGCCACATATTAAAATGACATTGAATAACACAAAGATGAAGTGAGTTATTAGTCCTCAGCGTCATTTGTTAAATGGAGATTTTCTACAAATTCTTTGAATGGTCCCACACTTTATCAAATATTGATAACTTTCCCTTTCCTAAACAAACAAATATCTATCATTACTTGTTCACGCTTTTATAAACGCAAGTAAGTTACAAGGCTCCTTTACATATAAATATAGATTACTTAAATGTTTGCAAACTTTAACGATTGCGTTTTTACTTTTGTTTTTAGCAGATTAGAAACTTTGTCTGAGCACACAGCATACCTGCACTGAGGGGCATTTTTAAGTTTCGGAATTAAATTTAATTGACTTTAATTGTGTTGCCCAAAAATACCACATTGTATCAGTGTATCAATTTAGACCTTACTTTACGGTAACTGCGATAAAGACAATCAACTTTGAGCCTTGAAATTTTTTTCATTTTTCCAAATGAACCCAATTTTAACCTGTCCATAAAAATCAATTGGTGGAGGTTATGGCACATTTGGAAAAATATAAAGCATTTTTGGGGAGCATATTAATTTTTATAACACTAATTTTACCAAAGTCAGAGGCAATGACCCCCACCCATCAGCTCTGCCCCCACCCTGACAATAGCTCCAGAACATATGAAAAGACTCTTCTTGAGGCTACACCGGTGGTGGTGTCTAGGAGTGTGGCTCAATAACAACATTAAAACCGGGTGTGGAACAGAGACGGGAGGCGTAGGTCCAAAACAGGTTTATAAAAAATTTGCAAAAGAACCACTGTTCAGATCACACTAAAACAAAAGGCTCAGTAAAGGTGAGGTGCAGCGGCGGGACCCACTGGTCCAATGGACTGTCCAAATAGAAGAGAGAAAGCCTGGTCTGGATCCAGGCCCTTTACACCCCACAGGTGTGGGTGGGAAGTCACTCAGCTGGGGGTGGCAGGATCTGACAGGTGGAGGCAAAGAGAAACACAAATACCAAAACCCAAAGGACATTGTTTTTGTAACGCACTCTGAGACACTGCGCCAGTGAGCTAACTCCTGTGTTCACTGACATTTTCAACACCTCTCTGGAGTCTTGCCTGCTTCAAATCCTCCATCATTGTCCTTGTCCCCAAGAAGACCCAGATCACTGGACTTAATGACTACAGACCTGTGGCACTTACATCTGTAGTCATGAAGTCATTCGAGCGCCTGGTCCTCTCCCATCTCAAGTTCTCCACCTCCACCCACCTGGACCCCCTGCAGTTCACCTACAGAGCCAACAGATCTGTAGACGACGCCATCCATCTTGCAGCATCTGGGCTCCCCGAGACCTTCACCAGGATCCTGTTCGTGGACTTCAACACCATCCTGCCATCCCTGCTCCAGGACAAGGTCTCCCAGCTGAACGTGCCTGACAGACAGGAAGCAGCGAATGCGTCTGGGGAAGAATGTCTTGGACTCTAGGATTATAAATAGAAGAGCCCCACAGGGGCGGACGACACCACCCTCATCAACGATGTCCACCTACAGGAGGGAGGTGGACTGGCTGGTGTCCTGGTGTAATGGTAACGAGACAGTGGAGATGATTGTGGACTTCAGAAAGAGCACAGTTCTCCCGCCCCCACCCTCCGTGATGGACTCCCCCATCACCTCTGTGGAGTCCTTTCGTTTTCCTGGGCACCACCATCACCCAGGACCTCAAGTGGGAGCCGACCATCAGCTTCTCATCAAGAAGGCCCAGCAGAGGATGTACTTCCTGTGGCAGCTCAGGAAAGCAAAGCTGCCCGCACAGATGTTGGTGCAGTCCTTCACGGCCATCATCGAGTCCATCCTCACCTCCTCTATCACCTCCTCCATCACCGTGTTGTTTGCTGGAGCCACAGTCAGGGACAAACAGAGACTGCAGCGCATTGTGCGCTCTGCAGAGGAAGTGATAGGCCGCAGGACCTGTACGTCGCCCGAGCTCGAGGCCGGGCTGGTCGTATCACTGCTGACCCCTCTCACCCTGCACATGGACTATTCCAACCACTCCCCTCAGGCAGGAGGCTACGGTCCATCAGGACCAGAACCTCCTGCCATAAGAACATTTTCTCCTCTGCTGTTGGACTCATGAACACTTCATAAACCGTCACTGACCTCTGCCCTTAGGACCGTCACTTAACGGCACTCTACCACACTCTTAAGGGTCTATTGTGTGCACCTAGTAAAGGTCTTTTAAAGGTCTTTTGGAAGTCCATCAGGACCTGATCAAAGGTCTTTTGGAAGTCCATCAGAACCTGATCAAAGGTCTTTTGGAAGTCCATCAGGACCTAATCAAAGGTCTTTTGGAAGTCCATCAGGACCTGATCAAAGGTCTATTGGAAGTCCATCAGGACCTAATCAAAGGTCTTTTGGAAGTCCATCAGGACCTAATCAAAGGTCTTTTGGAAGTCCATCAGGACCTGATCAAAGGTCTTTTGGAAGTCCATCAGAACCTGATCAAAGGTCTTTTGGAAGTCCATCAGGACCTGATCAAAGGTCTATTGGAAGTCCATCAGGACCTGATCAAAGGTCTTTTGGAAGTCCATCAGGACCTCATCAATGGTCTTTTAGAAGTCCATCAGGATCTGATCAAAGGTCTATTGGAAGCCCAATAGGTCCTGGTGTCCTGCCCTCATGTTATAAACTGCTTTGCTGATTTCACTTTCTTTCAAGTCTGATCTAAGAATGCATTTGGAATATTTGGGTCATTCAATATTTCAGAATGATACAGTTAAAATATCATAAATTCTTTATTTATTTTAACAGGATGGGTTTTGTGTCACGGTTACTTTTCACAGATTTCTGACCCTCTTCGTAAAAGGTTTGTCCAGGTTTATATAATATATATATATATTATTATAATTATATAAGATTATCAGCAGCTGCCCTCTCTACAGAGATTTTATCATATTCTGCTTTTAGAGTTAGTTAGTAGTTTTCTGCAATAATTGTGTAATTATGAATTACCTGATTTTGAATAGTTTTTATTTTTGACTCTAACTCTAATCTCTTTTTGTGAAAATCTCTGGTTTTAGATGAGGTGCAGCTGATTATATGTCCTCTTAAAACAGCCTTAAAGGCATCCCACTTCATTGTCTTCATTAACCTCCGCGTCCTGTAGAATCGTGGTCAGTCATAATGGTAAAAGAGATTAGAACTAAGGTAATGTCTTAAGAGTCTGACTGACCAAACCATTGCATAAAGTTCCTTGTAGCCTCAGTCTCAGTCTCTGAGACTGAGGCTGAGGCTACTTTGAGTAGCCTTTGAGGTCTACTCAAAGGCTGAAAGTAGACCTCAGTAGACTGAGGTCTACTTTCAAAGACCTCAGTCTCAGTCTTTGAAAGTATGTGACTTGTTAATGCTGGTTCAGACCTGGACCTGGGCAAAACCACACAAAGCTCAATTATGACTCAAAGTGACAGGACGACATGCTTCTGGTCCTGTGGCTGTGACGCTCCTCAAGCTCTTTCACATTCCACATTATATGCACATCATTATCACTTCAAACATTCCATATGGCCACAACCAATAGTTTCTTGACACAGTTCAAACCGGTTTCCACTGGTAATCAGACTTATAATTCACGTACAACAGAAAATGTGCACTTAGCAAGCTACACTTTTAACCACAACAACCCAAACTAGTGACATCTTGATATCTGTAAGCATAGGGCAATTAAAGCCTCTTGACAATACTTTACCATGCCCTCACCTCATAGACAATATGTTTCATTCATTAAACTTGATAAAACAACTCGACACTCTAATGTCACTTGCAGAAGCCACAACCCTTTCCTGTCCATTTTGGTTTTGTGACAAGATCAAATCTAGCGCAAAATTAGATGCATCTGTGCTCCAAATAAATGTTGGATCAAAGTTGGGAAATAAAATAAATAAAATAAAAAAGGCCTATTAATTATTTGATCTAATTCCACATGTTGCATTTTTGCATTAAGCCGACTTGCTTCATATTCACTCTCAAAATTAACGCTCAAATGTTGAATTTTTCAAAAGGATCGTTTTGTTCTGCAGTGCATTCTGGGTAGTGTCACTGTCACTTTATGTACCTGGGTGTGTTCTCAGTAAAGTGTCAATCAAAGTATCTAGACTTTAATAACTTATAACTCTAAAACTAAGTTTTCTATCATAGATTGGAGAAAAGATTTCAAACTCAGACATATCAAAGAGATAATGTGGATGAAATCAAAAGGAAAAATTGACAAATACATTTTTGGGGACATTTTGGGGACAAAAGACCAGATCAGATTGGATCTGATTGGATCATTCTACTGTGACTCAGATACATAGAAAAAAAAATGTTCTCAGTCTGAAAAAGCAGCAATCAGACGTTTGGCCTTTTGTCACACTTTAGTACCCCTTTAGTGTGAACGAGCCGATCTGCGTCAGGGTTTCGAAGCATTTCAGTAGCTCAGAAGTTTCCCAGCTTCTCATTGGTTCAGTAAGATGGCTCTCTTGTCATAGTTATGTGAGAAGATGAAATGGTATGAATTTTAAACCACATTTTGTGCTCTTCAGAAGCTGCAGTGATTACATTTGTCCAGTAGATGTCAGTGTTCATACTTAGTCTGAACGAAGCTCAGGGGCTTTGACACATTTCAAACAGTCTGGCAAGAAAAGCCTCAGAGTTTTAATATTTATTATTCTTGTTTATGTTCAAGTAAGAAAGAAAAATGCCCTTTACTCTTCAAATTGAGCGGAAAAGGCAGCACAACTGGGAAAGAGAGCTGGCCTACTTTTCAAAATTGACCGTAAAAACATGGAAGGAAAAAGCGGTTATCATTTCACTGGTACAAAAAGGGCTGGTCGATAATTCTTTTGATTAATTAGTGGTTTAGATACCAAAAGGTCAGTCAATATGAAGTTAAGTGAGTTTTTTTTTTAAAAATCCATTTGAACAAAGGCAAAGATCAGATTCTCCTTTAGTAGTCATTCTGAGCCTTGTGAAAGTAATTATTTCAATATATGGCGCCCTACATACAAGCCAGTGTTAATCCAAGTTGTAGATTTGTGTCTTGAGAGGGGCAAAATCATTTTTCAATATTCCAAATGTGACGTCACCTGCATAACCTCCTTAATACAATAGTTGGTAAAGTACAATTCAAGTCAGTTTGGGTTCTGTATAAAACTTAAAACCGTAACTGAATACAGCGGATTATTTGTTCCCTTTTTCACTCCCAGGATACTTTGTTACTATCTTACATCTTGTTTCTGTTACTAACTGAAGGTTTTTTTGTTGTTTCGGTATCGTTTTTTTTTTATGTTGTAGCTTCTCCACGGATACCAACTGGCAAACTGGACTCCTGCTCGCGAGGGTCTGCTGACATGCACAACAGCCTCAGGCACACAGCTCCTTTCTGCTTACTCATCTTACTAGTATTTTCCTTTATGTCGGTTCATGGTCCGGTAGTCCAGGGGGCAATAAGGCAGGGCAAAACAACAACACACAACAAGGCGGCAACAACCAACAACAGCGGGGCAACACACCAACAAACGGGGGCAAACCAACTACGTCATCAGGGGGGCGGGGGCGGGCAAAACCAACAAAACAAAAACACGGGGGCACACGGGCTAACAAACCACATATAGGGCGGGGGCAACAACCCTATTCACTCAGGTCAAGGCAACAATGGGGCGGCCGCAACAAAACGGGGGCATCTAACACCAAACAACCTTTCGATTCATGAACGAGGTTTGGTGATTTAGTGGTTGGGGACTCGAGACAACACCGACCAAGAGGAGGAAAGAGCTTCACGACGAACCCAAGAGAGGAGGGCGACGACTTCAGTAGATGAGGAGGGGTCAAGAAACAACGACCAGCAGAGTGAGCAGCGAGGAAGCAGAGGAGGGGTGGAAGTGTCAGCAGAGGAGGAACCAGAGGAGGAGGAAGGGGGAGGGTCTTCTCGGATGGAGGGAGGCGAAGGGGAGGGAGGAGGGAGGAGAGGGGGAGGAGCCCCAGACAGAGGGAAGGTGAAGTGCGAGGGTGGTCAGGAGGGAGGTGAAGGCACAGACCCAGACAGAGAGGAGGGTCCAAGCAGAGGTAGAGTAGAAGAGGGGAGGAAGGAGGAGGAGGGGAGGAGGGGGAAGGGAAAAGTAAGGGTAGGGGTGTCTTCTCCGCGTCTCGGGGTTGGATCGCAGGAGTTTGCCATAGAGGAGGAGAACGAGAGCAGAGGAAGCGACGAGGAAGTTGAGGGTAGGGGTCGGTTAGGGGAAGTGCGGAGAAGGAAGAGGGAGCGGGATCGGATGCAGTGGAGGGATACCGAGAGGGGAAAGGAAGAAGGGGGTAGGACGCTGAAATGTTGCAGGAGAAGTTATAGGATGGAAGTTACGAAAGTTGAGGGGGCGAAGGTTAGGAGAGAATTGACGGGAGGGTGTCTGGCTGGAGGATGTTGATTGGTTGTTTGTTGTTTTGTGGGTGTTGGTGGTCTGTTTGATTTAGGGTGGTGTTTGCGACTAAGTTGATTGGCCGCGGTGTGTTTTTGTTTTTTTGGTTTTGGTTGTTTGAGATAGAGATTAAGTTGAGGGGTAGGGGTTGAGAGTTTGTTGAGTGAAGTTGAGGGGTGTCGAATTAAGGAAGTTGAGGTGTGGTTTTTTTGTGGTTTTATGTGGGGTTGTCTTTTTTAGATTTTCTTCAACGGGAAGGGCTACCCCTCTTGAAGTAGTGTCACTGCCTTTGCTTCGATGGACACCGTATTGAGTGGGGATAAGTTGATTAAGTGACTTGGGAAGGATGAAGTAATGAGTTGGAGTAAGTGGAACTAAGTGATATTGCCTTTTGCATATGGAGGAGCCGCAAGGGTAAACTGCCCCCCCGTCCAGCCCCACAGCAATGAGCCCCCCCCGCCCACTCTAACACAGCAAACCAAGCCCGGCCCCCGCTTCGCCAAAAACTCTCCAAATAACGACGACACATATATATTATTTTTAGCAGAATAACAGAAAATAAGATATAATTCTCCTATCCGAACCATCTCCCGCTCTCAATTTACCTCATCGTTTCAAATGCCCGAGATAGGTATATTTTGGGTTAAGTTTTTATTTATTTTATGTTTTTGATAGATTAATTTTTGACTTTATTTTGTTAATTTTTTGTCAACAGTTTTGCTATTGACGGATTTGGTTGTCGATTGCATCCAATGTGGTTTCAGCCAATGATTTTCCGGCCGGACTTGAGGACTAGGCGGATGATACCCGGATTTTCTTGAAACCAATTTGTCCCACTCCTTTGGATGTGACGCTCCCAAAGAGGAGAAGCTGAAACTGGAAACGTTGTTGATAAGGCAGCGTGTGTTTTTTTTTTTATTTAAACTATTGGTTGGTGCTGTAATGAAATGAAAAACCTTCACGGTTGTATTACGTTCATAATTCTGTAGGGGGGGGGGGGTTGGGGGGCGGGTCGTCCCAAATATGTTTGGGTTCTTTTTCTGCTCTTTTTGTGTTTGGAGGCACGTTTGATTTTTAGTGAGGGACCATTACGTTCTGACAATTGCTTTCATAAACACTTTGGGTTAGTCCTGATTTGCGTAGGGGTCCTATGTATAGGGCCAAGACAAGAAACTGCAAATTGGACTAAAGCCCTAATCCGGTATTGCCAGTTGTGTTTTTAACTAAATAAAAACTCAAATCGAGATCAAGATCGACAAGAAGTCAGTAAAGAATTCTGTATAGTCTTTAGAGATTTGGCCTAATTTATGCAATCGTTTGTCCAATCTGTTGAACTTAAAACTTAAAAATTGTTGATTCTTGCAGAACTGAAAACCCCCGAAAAAAGTCTTCAAAGATGACTACTTTTGTAAGAACTACACAAAAACAAATTGAATTGAAGGAAGCAAGAAGTTTGAGGCGTTTGGTTTTGCGAATTGGGATGCGGCCATGCCAGAGGTCTGAGGGACAGGAAGCACAACAGTCTGGCTGAGTCCACTGGTCTGTTGCTGGAATCCGGCTCTTCAAATGTGAACGTGACGCAATCCGGGTAACCTAATAAAGCAGTAGATGTGACGGATTTATTTTTTTTACTTTCTTTGAACCCAAATTCCATCGACAGACCACAGAGGTATCGGAGTGTGTGTGGAGATTACAGTCCAGCGCTAGGCCAACTGAGGTTTTATCGTTGTTGATACCCTTAGTCCATTCAAAACACAGTACTAAAGTTGTCTGCCCGTACTAACCAGGTGGAGTATTCAGAAATATTGTGAAACATGCGTATATTTGTACAGTACATCAAAGAAAGAGAAGTGTGATCAGACATATACACGTATTCCGGTTTTCCTTTGCCCATGTCGTTATCGTTCGCGACCCAACGCATGCATCCAAATGAAAAGAATGGCACGCGGGAAAATTAAGCTCTACAAATTATTTTAAAAAAAGGTAAATAAAAGAACACTTGGGTTTCAACTCAACAGTCTTTTGCGAATATTTTTACAAAAACAACAATGCCGCGTTCCAAGAAAGAACCCCCCCCCCCCCCAGAAAACAAAAAACAACAAAAAAACGGAAATCAGTGAAATAACTTTGAACAGGACACGCGGGGAAAGCTAAGGGGCGTTTGATTGCTACACATTGACAGTGAAAAGGTGCTTTTCTCGTAAGGTGCTCCAGCCTTCACTCTACGCCCTTTCGAAAGGTGCAAGTCCCACAGGGCGGCCATTTTGGACTCTAAAAATTCAAGGTGGCACTACATCATGGGCGTAAAAGACATATAAATAAAGCATACACTGTTAAAAAATATCATCGCCAAAGCTGAAAATGAGTTCAATTTACAACTTGGCTTGAGCTGTTTATGTAGATTTGGGACTTTTTGGGAAGATTTTTTTATTTTTTGTTAAATTTGAGAGAAATATAATGCCAATGGAATGGATTGAGAAAATTGCACACAAATATGTACAGAATATCTAGTCAAGAAGCCTAGTCTTAAAAACTAAAATCTAGTCAGAACAACTCACAACAAGTTTATTTAAGAACTGAAGTCATTTAAACTTTGGTATACACTCTAAAAACAAAAACATTGACTTATAAGTTGCGTGATGTTGTTGGTAATCTTCGGTTAGATTCATTTCTAAGTTAATTGAAGTCATTATGATGATTTGTGCATTTACGTAATTTCAAGAGATTTAAGAGGTTCTTTTCGTGATCATCTCAGTCAACGTTTGAGTTTGTGGAGCGTAATCAGTAGTTCGCAGTGTACGTCGCGGACACATCCACACAGTACCGTTACCCTTTAGGATATTGCTTTCCCCTGACATCGCGACTTCTGATTATTGGTTCATATAAAAGGCACATTCAAAGTTTCCGCCCACATCTCCGCTAGTGTTGGAACACGCTTCGCCACAGAGGCAGACGCTGCACTTTATTTTTACTAAAACAGTCGTGCCAGGTCGACCAGTCTTTTCTCTTTAGGATGAAATGCGTCGAACTCAAGACATGCAAATACAACTATTGAAAGGGTTCTGAGGAAGACTGAACCTTATAGTCCCATTGAAGTCTATAAGTCAGCCATTTGAGGTTCTTCAGGAGGTCCTATGTTAACACTGCACTGTCATCTGTATATCTCTGCAAAAATATGTTTACCCTTATTGTGATATATGATTTTTTTTAGTAAAACGTAATATGAAGTTTAACTCCCTTGCTCGTCGCTCAGAACATGCCAGGCATGGACTCTAATCATATAAATATAATTCTTCTAAAAATATCTTTGACCATCTTTGATTTCCTGTTGCCTTTAAATTGACTTTACAATCATCAGTAAAAAAAAAAAAAAATCTTACCTTCTCTCTTGATCACATCATAGAAAGAGGAACATGCATTTAGAAAACAATAAAATGCACTGCAAAAATCAATATCTGTGGAAGTTAAAATGATTTGAATTCAGAATTTATCATCGTAGCAAGTTTAGAATCATTCAGTTTGAAAAGCAGTGATTTATAGTTTTATAATTGTGACTGGTTTCAACACACGCACATACTAAACAAGTTAACGTCGATTCTTTAGTGAATATAAAAAGTATCTTAGAAGATTAAAACGCAACAAAATTGATTGAAAACACTTAACAATTCTAAATAAGACTAAATCGCAAAAGATGACTTCACACGACCGAGTAAAGCCAAAGTAAAAAGATGAAGAAACAGTGAAACCAGTCAGAATTCACGCGTCCTACTCTGTACGAAGTAGGAGACGATAGACGGTAAACATTCTGAATACGAACCATTTGAACGTTAAACGATATTGTTTGCAGTCCTTTACAGTAAAACACCGCACAGTGACACATCGTGAAGTTAATCTGGACAGGTGAGGTGAAGAGGAACGGGGGAGAAAAGATGGCGAGCTCAGGTAGTGTTCGTACGGCGGGAAACAAACCGACTCCCAAACTCCACCACTAGAGGTCAGGCTTGCAAAGAGGAAGAAAAAAACAAAAAAAAAACACATTCACTCAGTCACTTCCTCTGTACGCAGCAGCCTGACCCGCTTTAGTGCACCCACCCTCCACCGTCCAGGGAATGTATTCGCCGAGAGGAGGGGAGAAGAGAAAAAAACTTTTTAAAAAAACTAACAAAAATGGCACCCTTGCGCTCTCTCGGTTCCGTTTTCAGGTCTGCTCGCTTCGTCGTCACAAAAGCGAGAACAAATAAAAGAAAAAGTGTTTTTAGTTTACGCACGTTCGGGTTACAGCGGGCCCAAGCGGTGTGGAACGAGAGTCACGTGGGGGGGGGAGGGAGCGAGCGCGGGGCGGGGGGGGGGGAGAGACTGCGGAAACAGATGCGTGAGCTGGCCTGACGTCTGAGACCGTTCGGCTTGATCTGAGGAGTTTTCGCTTGTCGTTTATTAAAGATTTGTGTGTGTGGTGCCCGAAAGAGATCTGGGTGTGTAACATTTTTGTCAGAAGAGAAACGCCATCTTTGTCTCGTGATAAAACGAGTTTATGCAAGAACGATATGGTCCGAATGGTAAATTTAAAGGTGAAACTACTAAGACAAATTTACTAAGGATATCCAGTTAAAAATTGATCTTAGAAAATGTAGGTATTTTAAATTACCCCAAACAGAGTACCGTCTCCATGGGGTAATTAGTTCTCTGCATTTGCTCTGTGTATAGTTAAAAGTACTCAAAATAAGCAAATGACGTAATTTGAGTACTCTTAACGAGATTTTTCAGCCTAAATTTCAGCCTGATAGATTTTAAGTTATGGTAATATAGTTAAAAGTACTTATTAGGGTATTTTTTAAGTGAGTCATCCGATTAAAACTTCTCAAATGAAGCCAAACCTTCTTCATTCAGTCATTCAAACTGATGCATACATTCTTGCAGTGGGACCACCCCAGCGCAGAGTTCAAAACAAAGGCGTGGCATCCCCGGCGACCCCCGACAGAGCCTCCCCTGAGGACTGCCCGCCCCCAGCCTCCAAGCCCCCGCTGGACTCCAGGGAGGCAGGGTCGAAGCCTGGCTCCGCCCCCACCAGCCCGTCCTCCTCCGTCTTGACGCTCTCTGGGAGGTAGGCGGAGTAGGCGTCGCTCTCGGCCATCAGCAGCTTCAGTTTGGGGATCCAGCTCTTGCGGACCACCCGTCTGGCGTTGGTGCACATGTCGGCTGCGATGGCGTTCATCTCGCTTTCCTTAAAGCTGGTGGCGAAGTTCTGGCAATAAACTGTAGGAGAAAAGGATGAGTAAATGTACTTTGGAAGTGAGAGAGAACAAGTGAATCCAAGCACCGTGACTGACAGCTCTTTGTCCATGACCTCCAATTTAGTGTTTAAACCAATTTAATCCAGAGGCACAGATTCTAAACCCTCTACCCTGTGATGCACAAGAAATTAGAGCTCCATTCTTTTCAGAGTGGCCTGTAGGATGTTAATCACATTCTTTAATGTTTATGTAGATTTTCAAGTTTATGATTTATGCCTGATGTGATAACGGTTGTGAGACCCTCTTCAAAAAAACGTGATAGATTGACAGTGTCTCATGATGCAGTTTCACTGCTGGTAGAAATGGTCACGCTCATTACAATGAAAAGTTATTCTTGGATGTAATCCGCACGTCTATGTTTAGAAACATTGTGAGAGCCGGGGACTAATCCTAAACATAACTATTCTCCTCCAGCAAAACTCACGAGTCCGGGTTAAAGGGCCCCAAATGAAAGGAATTTGTCATTATTTGATGCTTTGGGCTGAGAGTGGAGGAAAAAAGTGATTTAAAGTGGTTACAAAATATAAAATACATGAAAATTATGGATAAAAATAATGGACAGCTTTGAAAGCAAGGAACTGGTTTGTTTGTCAACGACTTTTGTTTTTGTCGGCGCGTTGCCATATTCCTCTCACCAAGACCACTCCTGCTTTATTGTTACCTTAGTGCCAGCCTGTTCCAGAGGGAACACAGAGCAAACATCACATGAAAATCACCATTTAAATCTGAAGTAAAAGCATGTTTTTTTATTCTCATTATTATGTATTAAAACAAATGTTCCAAGTTGTAGACACTGATTTGCTACGAGTGATGGGTAAGCAGTGCTCCCTAGTGGTCGAAATGTGTTACAACAGCCTTATCCTCCATCCCATCTATGACATAAGCATGAGTCTGCATTCAGTGAGTCCATTTTAGGTAACGCAGCGAGACAAGCGTCATTCACTCTCCACGTTTGAAAGCTTACATTTGACTGCGTGTAGCACTCTGTTGTCCAGGGGTTTCCTGCTGGGGTCGTTGGTGGACGAGCGGATGCCAGTTCCACAGCTGTTAGCCAAAGTATTTCTGAAACATCCAAACAGAGATTAATTAATTTACATTCATCACTTATATCTTTTTTAGAGAGTAGGATATAAAAAAAACAAAAAAACATATATATAGATATGCTTTTACAACAAATTTCTACTTCTATATGGTTTATATTTGATCTTTAGCCAAAAAATGGAAAGTAGTAAAATCCATAAACTATCCTCGGTTCTAGCACTCGTTTTCATGCATCCATTTCATGTCTGAACAAGTTGATTGAAAGACAAAGACAAAGAGAGAATAACCAAAAGCAAAGCATCAAATATGACTCATAGAAATCTTTCTTCCAAGCGTATAAAGAGTGTATATAAATAGACAGAAGTACTTTCACTCTTTAAGTGCTATTTTCATTTTAATCTATTTTTGTTTTTATTTATTGCGATATTTAACTCATTGACTGCCATTGACATATTTGTCTGAGACCCTCTATTTGGCTGGGGATTACAGGGCAACAAAAATAGCAAGAAACAAACTAATTTTTGCTGATGAAAGTAGACAATCCAGTCTTTCAGAATCTGCTTTCATATTTCACATAGTCGTAGGAAATAATATTCTGTGGGTCTTGAGAATCAGTGAAATAATCCAAAACGGCTGGCAGTCATAAACATAATATTTGTAATAGATATAATGTATTGTATGTAAAAATAAATTGTGGAAATCATCTTGAGATTCCCAGATATCGCCCGGCGACCCCCACTGTTTTAATAAGCATTATTTACCGTATAACCAAAGCATTATTATTATTATTTCACTAATAACCAACAAGACTTTAGTTTATCCGAGCCACTCATCGTCTTTGTCAGGAAACATGAGTCCGCACTGAACTCCAAAGCAAACATTTGCACATGAAACAGACGCTAAATAGATGTAAAAAGCAGAACAAAAATAGGCCCAGACCTGTCAAAGAACGCAGCCAGCAGCCTCCGCAGCAGAACCTTGTGTCTGGTGCCCGCGCTCACGTGACAGTTCATGAGCTGGGCGCGGGTGATGTACACGGACGTACCTGGATCACACACACAACACTTTATTGGACACTGTGAATCCAGAAACTTCTAGGAGCGTGGACATGGAGCGGAGGTCGTCAAGGAGTGGAGTAGATTTAGTGTTTTTCTAAACGCTTGTGGCAGTGAACGTTTTAAAAAGAATTGTGTGTGTGTGTGTTTCAAAACAACTCGATATGATTCAGTCAAAAAAGGCTGTGTTATGTTTCATTTATTGTTAATTGATTGTTATTATAATATACCAGTAAATCAAAATATATACATGAAAAAAATATCTAAACTGTAAATGAATCTGGGAATAAATTTGGTTAAAATATTGATAATACCAAATAAAAAAATGACATGGTATATAATTAAAAAAATAAACATTTTCCTAAAAATCTATTTTTAGCACTCTACTGTCAAAACTGACTTGGTAGACTCATTCAAGGTAGATTTTTCACATTTTGTCATATCTCTGGCTTATTTTACATTCCTACTGCTACATTTGTATTATGTGCAGCTGTAATGTCCTCCTTTTATTGATAAAATAAGCTCTTTGTGCAGAAGTTCTCCACTGATTAATTAAGTGGTTTTTATACGGCTCAAATGAATTACCCATATGGCGGGATTGATAATAAAAAAATGCACAACAGTTCAGTTTCAAAACAATAGTCCATAGAGCCTCAAAAACATGATTGATTTGACCAATGAGAAGCCATTAAAGAACAAGCAAAGAAACGGTCAAAACAAGTCCAAATGACTGATGAATGTGTATTTATTTATCCAACATGACGTGTGCGTGCGCTGCAGTCCCAGGTGAGACGTACACAGCGGTCACATGGGCAGGAAATGAGCCACGTTATCAAAATGCCCGCCCAGCCCTGTCACCTCACTGTGCCCATATGTGTGTGTGTGTGTGTGCGTGCCAGTGCGAACACCCACATCTATGCGTCACAAGATAAACATGTGCATGTAATCAGTGTGTAGCAGCGTTGCATATCGTCCTGATGCTGTTTTTTCACACTATGAATTGTGTGAATCAAACAAAATGTGCATGAATCGACCAATCATTGCACTGAGATGGATTGTGGGATTTGGATCATGGGACAAGGCCAAAATGACCAGTTTTGTGGCACCGTCTCTGCATTGGTTTGCTGCCATTTTAGTATAATTTGGAAAACAAGTTTAATAAATGCTTTGATTTTGTAAAGAACATTGGTTCTCTTGTATTTAGGACGTCCTCCGTCCAGGAGGCAGAGGCTGAGGATGTTGGGGCGGATACTTCCATCTCCCTGGCCAAGGTCACCAAGGTGGTTGGCAGCCTCCATGGTGGCAAGGCGCCGGGAGTGGATGAGATCCGTCCTGACTATCTAAAGTCTCTGGATGTTGTGGGACTGTCTTGGCTGACACGTCTCTGCAGCATCGCGTGGCGATCGGGGGCGGTGCCAATGGAGTGGCAGACCGGGGTGGTGGTCCCTCTCTACAAGAAGGGGGACCGGAGGGTGTGTTCCAATTATCGTGGGATCACACTCCTCAGCCTCCCCGGTAAGGTCTACTCCAAGGTACTGGAGAGGAGGCTACGTCCGATGGTCGAATCTCGGATTCAGGAGGAGCAGTGTGGTTTTCGTCCCGGTCGCGGAACACTGGACCAGCTCTATACTCTCCATCGGATACTCGAGGGCTCATGGGAGTTTGCCCAACCTGTCCACATGTGCTTTGTGGATTTGGAGAAGGCGTTCGACCGTGTTCCCCGGGGTGTCCTTTGGGGGGTCCTCCGGGAGTACGGGGTCTTCTGCTGAGGGCCGTCCGGTCCCTGTATGACCGGAGTCAGAGCGGTGTTCGCATTGCCGGCAGTAAGTCAGACCTGTTCCCGGTGCATGTTGGCCTCCGCCAAGGCTGCCCTTTGTCACCGGTTCTGTTCACTGTATTTATGGACAGAATTTCTAGGCGCAGCCAGGGGCCGGAGGGGGTCCGGTTCGGGAACCACAGGATTTCATCTCTACTTTTTGCAGATGATGTCGTCCTGCTGGCTCCAACGAACCAGGACCTGCAGCATGCACTGGGACGGTTTGCAGCCGAGTGCGAAGCGGCTGGGATGAGAATCAGCACCTCCAAATCCAAGGCCATGGTGCTCGACCGGAAAAAGGTGCCTTGCCCTCTGCAGGTGGGTGGAAAGGTCCTTCCTCAAGTGGAGGAGTTCAAGTATCTCGGGGTCTTGTTCACGAGTGAGGGGAGGATGGAGCGTGAGATTGACAGGCGGATCGGTGCAGCGTGCGCAGTGATGCGGTCTCTGTATCGGACCGTTGTGGTAAAGAGGGAGCTGAGCCGAAAGGCAAAGCTCTCGATTTACCGGTCAATCTTCGTTCCCTCCCTCACCTATGGTCATGAGCTGTGGGTAATGACCGAAAGAACGAGATCGCGGATACAAGCGGTCGAAATGAGCTTCCTCCGCAGAGTGGCTGGGCGCTCCCTTAGAGATAGGGTGAGGAGCTCAGTCACACGGGAGGAGCTCGGAGTAGAGCCGCTGCTACTCCACGTCGAGAGGAACCAGTTGAGGTGGCTCGGGCATCTGTTCAGGATGCCTCCTGGACGCCTTCCTGGGGAGGTGTTCCGGGCACGTCCCACCGGGAGGAGGCCCCGGGGAAGACCCAGGACACGCTGGAGGGACTATGTCTCTCAGCTGGCCTGGGAACGCCTTGGAGTCCCCCCGGACGAGCTGGAGGAAGTGTGTGTGGATAGGGAAGTCTGGGCGTCTCTGCTTAGACTGCTGCCCCCGCGACCCGGCAACGGATAAAGCGGAAGAAAATGGATGGATGGATGGATGGACATTAAAATACTTCCCCATAAACATTGCACAGGTTAGACTTAAGTCTGCCATTATACGTGAGGATATGTATTACAATGCAATTACAAGTTGTGTTTTGTGAATGCAGTTTAACAAAACCCATGGAGATTTTAGGACCAATTTACAATGTTTCCCGTTTTGTCAAAGAACCAATCAGAAGGGTCTTGGCTGTAAATGTGTTTGGTACCAAATGTTTTCATTTTATTTATAAGATAAGAAACTATTGGTCTGACATTTGAGACATTTACATCACATTTGGCATAGATCACTCAGGGTGTGGGAAAAGACATATACATGACTGACAGCTGTGGTTTTAGAGAGCTCTTGCCTGAGACCAGCTCCAGCTTCTCCGCGGGGTCCCCCTCCTCGTACAGTTTGGGGTGACAGCGGTTGCCGATCTGTGCGATGAGTTCAGCAGGTAGGCAGGTCAGGTCCCGGCCCCTCATGCGCCCGCGGGTCTCTGTGTGGTCTGGCAGGGCCTCCACGCGCTCTCCGGTGGCTGCACCAGAAACAAGAAGAGGTTCACGATAGTGTTCTCTGCTCTGTTGTTGGTGAATCGACAACTTTGTAAAGTCCACCCAGAATTAAGGCCAGAGTTTGGTGTTCAACGGTTTTTAGGTTTGCGTCCCCCTTATGTATTGCATCAGTATAAAGATCGTTGGCTTCGTCGCGATAAAAGTTGCAGGGTTCAAAATAACTTGAAAATAAGTTGTGGCTCATAGTTCAGTAATTATAGCAGTTCAGTATGTTTAGGTCAAAGAATACCGAATACTTAATTTAGAATTAATCTCATTAAATATCAGCATCTGTTTCCGAGGAGACACGTCCTGCCCAAAATTCTACAATTCTGAAATAATACACATTCATAAATAAAAGCTTCATGATTAATGTCATAGTTAATGCACTTCTAAATTGAACAGAGAAGAGCAGCTGCAGAGGTTAGTGAAACCGGTAAGGATGAAGCCAAATACAACTTCAGATCTGTTTTTCACCAGGGTTCTGGGAACTCAAAAGTTCCTAGAACTTAGTTTTGGATTTGATGTGTCCTTTAAAAGGAGACATTATACGTAATGCTGTTAGTTAAACGCGTTATTAACAGCGTAAACACAAAGTCATTTTAAAGCCGTACATTTGATAAATAGTGCAGCTCTTTTTGGCCGACCACATTTTGTAAAGCTAGAAAAACTCCAACATCACTCTGGATGGAGCTGTAGCTCGACCAAAAACAGAACAAAGTACGCTCGCGGCATGCGGCAGTGCACGTTCCAGGCTTCTACAGCGGGCAAGTATCTGACATCAGCCCCGCTGCCTCCTCTTGTGGCGCCATCTGGAGGCCACAGCCCAAATGAGTAATAAGTAATGAGTAATAGGTCCACTGTGGTGATATAAAACCATCTAACTGATGTTGTGTCTGCTATTATTAATATTCTTTAATTTACATAAACATGATACATACATATGTATATGTATACATATGTATGTATCTTCATATGTGTAAAACTGTGTTTGGGACAATGTGAGCACTCAATGGCAGGAAGTCACGTATCTAAATCATAAGGACAATGTGACGTTGGAGACAATAGAACCCGCAGCTGCATCTCGGCAGCGTCTGTGTCATTAGACTGCACATGTATGTCTTGTGGATGCATGTTTGGTTATAATTGTGTCTTAGGACATCTGGAAGGACAATAATAACCATTAGATTCTATTTATTTTCCATTTGCAGTAAAACCACATGTAGTGAGATCCTCAGGGAGGACAGACTCAGAGATACGGAGTTAACCAGGACTAGTCTAGAAGATTATTGAATGACAAGTATTTATGACATCCTGCCCTAGCGCATCTATAAGAGATGGTAAGAATGACAAAGAACACATTAAGCACAGCTTAATGTGTTCTTTGTCATTCTTACCATCCTCATCCTCGGAGCTGACCCAGGCTGAAAGCACTAAGCCTGAATTTGACTTGAGGTATTCTGATTGTGTCATTAAACTCTTTCTTTCATACATAACTCAGAGTGCATTCCTTCTCCAACACTACACTGGTTTGTGCGGGAAACCACATCTTCTGCTGAGAAGATACAACACTGACTTGAAAATAAACATAAGAGTAGCCTTTATTAGACAATTCAAGTCATTTATACTTTGTTTAATAGTTCTATACACTGTAAAAACATTAGCAAAAGCAGAGATGGACGGGATTGGATTAAGGGATATTTAGAACAGCAAAAAAAAAGCCATCATTGCGATTCATCATTGCGATTCATCATTTGCAATATCAACTTTGAGATTTTAAATTATGTTACAACATTGTTCCCAACATTGTTCCCTCTAGCCACGATCTTGAGTCGTTTTTAGCTCCATCCACACTAATAGCAGGAACCTTTGGCACAAACAAATCTTTTTAACCCTTCTGTTAAAAAGCTAGAATGACGTCATTGTCCCACTGTGGCATATGACTTTTCAAATTTCTCAGGCAAAATTATGTTGTATAGACATATCTGGGTTTGCAATATGTAATTATTGAAAAAAGTTCAGTCTTTGACCAATTATTTTCAACTCCTATTATTTACCAGTCTAAAACATGAAATGTCACAATAATGAAGCTTACCCGCGGCCCCCATGTTGAGCATGCTGTACATGGTGTACATGTTGCAGATCTGCCTGTACTGCTCTTCGGCGCTCTCGTCCGTGCCCTCCTCCTCCTCCTCGTCGTCATGGTAACTGATGGGCGAGTCGCTGGCATAGGTGCTCAGGGTTCCCGGGCTGGCTCCGTCGGACATCCCCAGACCTGCTGCCGTGTTGCCATTAGTGGATCCCCCGTTGCCTAGACCCCCTCCTCCAACCGCCATACCCCCCATGCCCATGGCCAGTCCCAGTGCGCCGGGACTCTGGATGGCACTGCCCCTCACCACGTCCTGGGAGTACCGAGCCGCTTTCCTGGCCCCGCCCCCTGACCCAAACCCGCTCCCTCCCCCGTCTCGCGCGCTGCCCCCCTCCCACAGCCGCTTGGCCACTGGGGTGCAGACCACGGAGTAAGGCGCGGCGGCTTCAGGCTGGCCGGGCTGCTCCGTCTTCACCCGGGACACCAGAGGTAGAGGGGTGAGGCTGGTGGCGGGCCGGGACACCCCATTCCCGGTCTGCGTGACGGGGCTCTGGGGCTCTGAGGTGGGGGTGTCTTCTGCATGGAGGCCCTGGGAGTCGCAGCTGGGGGAGGACACCTGCAGAGAAGCATGCGCCCATTAAAAGAGGAAGCTTTTATTGGGTTCTTTTTTCTTATCACAAATGTTTTCTCTCCCGGGCATGTGAATATTTGCCAACACAATGTCTTCATCTAAATCAAAGGTGTCAAACCCACGCCCAAAAAGGCAGTTAGAAAAGACTAAAAATAAAACTATATCATCAGCTGATTTGTCTAACTTCCTTTGATACCATGAGCTCACTTTTAAGTCAATCCAAACAAACAGTAATTGAATTTTGTTCAGAAAAATAACATCTAAACTTATGATACATCAAAGTTTTTTTTAATCATACAGATTTTTTATACATCATATTTTTTTTTTTCTTCTTTTGTCTAAAAAGTAAAAAATAAATAAATGCCCACAAAATCTGCAAAAAATTATTACATTTTCCGGATCAATACTTCACATTTGAACTAGCGCTGTCAAACTATGAAAATATTTAATCAAGATTAGTGATTATTCGCAAGTAACTTGTCTTCTTGTGTTCAAAACATAAATGAACGTTTCACAATTAGAAGTATTTGGATTGTCTCATACAGGCCACTCAATCTCTGCTGTTGTGTTTTTTTTATTTTTTTATTTTTTTTACAGTGAATAGAATTAATAAAACAAAGTAGAAATGATTTCAATTGTCTAATAAAGGCTACGCTTTTGTGTATGTATTCATTGAAGTCAGACATTTCCAGAGTATTTGACGCGCTGTGGAAATAACTATAGTTTTAAAGTTTGGGCTGTGGAAGTGGACTTGAAATGGTTACTGATGTATGTAATGTAATCAGTGAGTAAGCTTTTGTCTTCTCCAACCTCCCTGTGGACCATACCAAGTGCAACAGGTCCAGGGGGTGAGTACACCACAATCCCTGACACAGCACCAGTCTTTTGAAGTGGAAAGCCTCGTGCAGGGTGCAGAGCTGATTTCAGATACGTGCCTGTGGTAGAAGCCTGGATCATGCATAAGACACAAACAGTGCGCTGCCAAATATGACCCAGGCGTAGTTTTTTTGTACAGTGACGCGTCATCATACATACTTGCGTGAAGAACGTGAAAAAAATTATCAACGCCATTAAAATGGGTTTTTGTTAACGTCCTTATCAACGTGTTGAACAGTACTTATTTGAAAAATGTCAGACCTGAGAGACATTTGAGAGCGGATATATGAGCCAATCAGCTCGGAGCCCAAAGCCGGGCTGTGCTCGCGCTCAAGAACAAGTTAGATTTAAAAGGGACCTAATCTTATTTTGTTCGTATATTGTGGTATTTTTTTGTGTCAAATAAAACTCATTTTGACAGATAGAAACTGCTAAGGGTGAAACTATCATTAATAATCATGCAAAAAGACATTCGCGGAAAAATTGCCGAGACCGGAAGTGACGTACACATAGGCGTCATTGGGCTTTGTTGATATGCATCTGTGCCATAACGTTGTATACGGACGTTTTAAACAGATATTTGTCATTCAGTGATGGACAAAACAAGTCAGGGGCTTTTATTTATGAGCCCTTGGTACTTGTTATGACAGTGATTATGATTTTGAGGACTCTGACTCGGTTCAGATGAGGAGCAATCTGCAAGAATTTGCGGACATTAGGGCCGTTTCCACGGGCTGGAGTATGGATCTATGGTCCGACCGGGTCCGACCCGTCTCGACCCGGTTTGCGGATGCGGTCAGTTTGAGCTCGATGGTGCACCTGAGTGAGTGTAAATAGCTAAGTGTTAGTGAAGGTAGCGCTAGGGATGAAGGAGTACATCAGGGACATCGCAGTGCAGAGAAAAGTTAAAAAGCTTAAAAGTGACTACCGTGAAATGAAAGATCCCAGCCGTAAAAGTGACAGAACTGAGAAGTCTGGAGGTGGTTTGACGCTATTTTTACGGACATCAGCTAACACCAGCTAACAAGCTAACACCAGCTAATACGTCAATACCCGCAACTCAGAAGCCTCAACTCTATGTCCCAGCTCCAGATGTTGAGTTTGAGAGAAATGGTGAGTGTCTTCAATCAAATGCAAACATGTAGCGTTATGGTCTTATTCTGTCTGTGATTCTAAAGTCTTATAATGAACGTGTGTCTGTGGTTCTAAAGTCTTATTCTGAACATGTGTCTGTGGTTCTAAAGTCTTATACTAAACGTATGTCTGTGGTTCTAAAGTCTTATACTGAACGTGTGTCTGTGGTTCTAAAGTCTTATTCTGAACGTGTGTCTGTGGTTCTAAAGTCTTATACTGAACGGGTGTCTGTGGTTCTAAAGTCTTATACTGAACATGTGTCTGTGGTTCTAAAGTCTTATACTGAACATGTGTCTGTGGTTCTAAAGTCTTATTCTGAACGAGTGTCTGTGGTTCTAAAGTCTAAAACATGATGGTATGTGTCATATCTATATATTTTACTAAACGTAGTTAGAGTGAAACATGGATTCATGGTTCAATGTCAGTTGTTGTGTTTTCTGCTGAATACTGGGTTGAAACTCGTAAAATTGGTTTTAGTTGGAGCTTGATAGAACTAATTTGATGGACCTGGCGCTGGTGTCTTCTCTCAGTTTGTTTGGACCTTCTCTGATTAAGTCAAAGATCGTAGGGACTGCTGTTTACACTCTTCTTTTTGTTACTTTCATTGCTGCATCCCGGGGCCGTACAAAATACACATATTTTAAGGTTTATTTGTGTCAAAGCGGCAGCAGGAGCAATGCCATTAACAGTGAGGCGAGAGCTGTGACCCCTCTAAGGCCCTGTCCACACGAAGTCAAGCTCAGGCCTAAACGCAAAAATACTTTATCAATCCAGTGTATCGTCCATACGAGGCCGGCGTTTTGGGGGGGTGCAAACGAACATTTTTGAAACTAGGTCCCAGAGTGGAAAGATTTCAAAACTCCGTATATGCCGCTCCGTGGTTACTGCCTCTCCGCAATGTATCTGAGACGCTTGCGTCATCGCCCCGCCTCTTGTTAAAGCACGCATGCGCCGCACTCAGAAAATAATGACAACAACAATGTAGCTTGTTGGTTTTGTAATCCAGTGTGACACGAAGCAACAGTTCAACCTCATCGTCCGTCCATACTAATGTAGTACCAGCTCGCCCACTCGCCATGTTGTCTGTTTACAAAATTCCGCGCATGCCCAGTTCCCGTCACGGAAGTTTGGGCTTGATCCCGTCATTGCGTCACAGCGCCACCAACAGCTCTGGCATAGTTTCACAGCGTTTTCAGGCGTATTGACTCGTATTGATTCATATGGACGCACACATTTACTGAGCTAACTCCGTATTTACAGAAAAAGTTTCTGAAATTATAAGCGTTTTGTATTCGTGTGGATATAGCCTAAGTACATCCTCATTTTTCTGGCCAATCAGAGGTGTTGATATTAAAAGGTTATTTTACTGATTTATTACTTATCTATAAACACAAAAACTCATTGCAAAGGTGGGAAATACATGCTTTTAATGTGTTTTATCAGAAAAAAAAATAGTTTTTAATAGCGTTAGTGCCCTTTTAAATATCTACTTCCTCCTTTTACTGCAAGAGAATCAGTTATTGTAAATGTTTCCCATTGCAGCTTTAGGATGGTCAAAGGCGAAGGATTGGGGATACATCCAATGACATTGATTTGTTTAAAAAACTACTGTAGGTCACCCATTTACAGGGGAAATTAGACAAGTGAAGCCTTTGTTTGTTATAATGTTGACGAATGTACTTATAGTCCAGTTTCAAAATACTTAAATGTTCGAATATTCTAGTTTTATTTGGGTTTTTTACAAGCTGTGAGACAATTATCCATATTAAACAAATAAGGGTTAGAAATATCTCAATTTGCTGTAGTTGTAGTTCACCTGTAGAAGCTCTTTAATAAACATCAATGCTTAAACAAAGGTGGGCACTTTTATGTGGCACAGGGCTCAGCACAGGGCTCAGCACAGGGCTCAGCACAGGGCTCAGCACAGGGCTCAGCACAGGGCTCAGCACGAGTACACACATGAAGAGGGAGAGGCCGTGTATGTTCACTTCAATCCATCATGTGCCAATGACACATGCAGGAAATCACAAATTAAGCTCCATACAGGCGATGTAGGCGTGTCTGGACAGATGCACCAAGCAAGACAAGACGTGCACTGCTGTCTTGGCTTTATAGATGGAAACGGACGCTCAATGGGTCATGAATATGTCCAAGACTCTCCTTTATCGTGGACATACACCCGACGATAAAGACGGAACAAATCTACCTTTTCGAAGGATCAATAAACTTCTGCCTCGCCTTTCCCATTATATTATATTACATTTTAGTTCATTAGTGCCACTAAACATTGAATCAGAGACCAGAACAATATTGAGATTGTTGAGATTAAAAGGGGACTTTAGGGAATTGTTGAAAAGTATTTTAATTAAATTGGAAAGGAAGTATGTTTTATAGTAGTTTTGCAGATAATAAAACTTCAACATTTTCAAAAGGTTTTCCAAGCTAATAAAGTATGGAAATTCATTGATCCACGTTCCATTGACAAGGTTTCAAGCTTTCCCTTTCTCTCAAAGAGGGAGAGAAGAAAAAGTAATTAACTATTTTAGAATTGAAATGGCAGAACACATTCATTATTTCTGTTGCACCTTGAAGAGGCTGGTCTGTCCTGTTGTACCTTGAGGAAGAACTCCGTCCCCTTCTCCATGATCTGCTGTATCTGGAGGAAGCCGGCCGTGTACATGAGGAGGAACTGGTCTCCCACGGTCATGCTGAGGCGGCCGGTGTAGCAGAAGGACAGGATCTGCTGGAAGCTTTGGGGCTGCACGGCCGGGGGGAGCTCCACCACGTCTGCAGAGCACCCTCCACCACCGCTGCTGCTGAACAGGTCCCGGAAGTAAGCACTACTGGCGGCTAGAACCGCACGATGGGCCTGGAAGGAACCAAGTTGGTAATTTAGTTACGTATCAAGGAAAGACTGTTGCATTTCTAAATGAAACCCACGTCATGTACATGAAATATAAACTACAAACCCCGTGTGAATTTAGCTTACAAACAGGATTTTTGTCAAATCATAAAAGTAACAATATTAAAACTACATTTTGTTGTAAGAGTTATAAGTATTCTTTGTGCTGTCCTGTAATCTCTTCAGAGTGAGCACTAGCACTGTTCTGTGGTACCTTGAAGGTGTGTCCTTTCACCACCACAGACACGTCGCAGTAGAGCCCCTGCAGCCGCTGCTCGTTCAGACACTCCAGGACGTTGTTGCCGAAGTTTGGGATCGCCATCTGGAGGGTCTGGGCCATGGTGCGCCAAGCACACCTCTAATGTGTCTGCAAATACAGACAAATACACACTCACTATGTGCTCATATCAAACTGAGCAACTGATTCACAACTCATCCATCATATCAACAACTGTCAACACATTCAGGATTAAAGATTCTTACACAGCAATACAAACATTTTATCCATCAGGGCAGATAGAAATGCAGTCATAGTTGTTGTGAGTTGTGCTCTTTTTGATTAACCGAAATATGTATCCCACAAAACGTATAGAATACATTCAGGAATAAGAGAAGTAAAGAGCTCTTTGGGAACTCCAACCCCATACACTTTTTCAAAAACATCCATTTCATGCTTTATACAAAATGTATTAATATTTTACTCGGACACAGTCATACCGCTAAATTTCATACTAACACAGCTAAATGTTTAAATAAACACACTAATATTAGTTATATATATAATAGTTGGAATGTGCAAAGGCACATTCCATTGCTCACATCATAAGTTTAACACACACTCACATTAAACAAGCAAATGGATATTATTTTCCTCCTCCATTTTGTTTGGAGCCATAGACTTAAAAGCTCCGTGTCCTCAGACAACTGGGTCATGTTCTGTTGTTCTATGTCAGATGCATGAGCACGAGCACATCCTCCAACCCCCTCGTCTCCACACTCTGAAGCGCTGCATTCCACTGGGACCCAAACAAACTATATTTGATCACATTTGAGTTGTGCCGTCAGTAAAATGCATTAATAACAGTTAGGCAAACCCATTATAAAAGGCGTATTTTTTTCTAATTGCACAATTAACGCAAGTATGTAAAGTGACTGAAAGACAAAACTATGCATTGATCATATTTTGGGCTGACGAGCGCCTGGCCGCGCTGCATCAGTGCACATGTTTCTACCACTGGCACCTATCTGAAATCAGCCCTTTTGAGCTTTTCATCTTCAAAGACACATGTGGTGTTTTTAAATGTTATTTAAAGCAGGTGTGGAAGAAAACAACAGCAGTCGCACTCACTGGTGTTTACAGGACATCCATCAGGAATCACAACTATCTCTAAACATTAAAACTATAGTTATTTCCACTGCGCGTGAGTCCTATATACTGTGAAAAAACATCTACAGTGCCTTGCGAAAGTATTCGGCCCCCTTCAACCTTTCGCCACATTTCAGGCTTCAAACATAAAGATATAAAATTTATTTTTTTTGTCATGAATCAACAATAAGTGGGACACAATCGTGAAGTGGAACGAAATTTATTGGATAATTTATACTTTTTTAACAAATAAAAAACTGAAAAGTGGGGCGTGCAATATTATTCGGTCCCTTTACTTTCAGTGCAGCAAACTCACTACAGAAGTTCAGTGAGGATCTTTGAATGATCCAATGTTGTCCTAAATGACTGATGATGATAAATAGAATGCACCTGTGTGTAATCAAGTCTCCGTATAAATGCACCTGCTCTTTGATAGTCTCAGGGTTCTGTTTAAAGCACAGAGAGAACCATGAAGACAAAGGAACACACCAGGCAGGTCCGAGATACTGTTGAGAAGTTTAAAGCCGGATTTGGATACAAAAAGATTTCCCAAGCTTTAAACATCTCAAGGAGCACTGGGCAAGCAATTATATTGAAATGGAAGGAGTATCAGACCACTGCAAATCTACCAAGACCCGGCCGTCCCTCCAAACTTTCATCTCAAACAAGGAGAAGACTGATCAGAGATGCAGCCAAGAGGCCCATGATCGCTCTGGATGAACTGCAGATAACTACAGCTGAGGTGGGAGAGTCTGTCCATAGGACAACAATCAGTCGTGCACTGCACAAATCAAGAGTGGCAAGAAGAAAGCCATTTCTCAAAGATATCCATAAAAAGTCTCGTTTAAAGTTTGCCACAAGCCACCTGGGAGACACACCAAACATGTGGAAGAAGGTGCTCTGGTCAGATTAAACCAAAATTTAACTTTTTGGCCACAATGCAAAACGATATGTTTGTCGTAAAAGCAACACAGCTCATCACCCTGAACACACCATCCCCACCTCAGCTGTAGTTATCTGCAGTTCATCCAGAGTGATCATGGGCCTCTTGGCTGCATCTCTGATCTGTCTTCTCCTTGTTTGAGATGAAAGTTTGGAGGGACGGCCGGGTCTTGGTAGATTTGCAGTGGTCTGATACTCCTTCCATTTCAATATAATTGCTTGCACAGTGCTCCTTGAGATGTTTAAAGCTTGGGAAATCTTTTTGTATCCAAATCCGGCTTTAAACTTCTCCACAACAGTATCTCGGACCTGCCTGGTGTGTTCCTTTGTCTTCATGGTTCTCTCTTCGCTTTAAACAGAACCCTGAGACTATCAAAGAGCAGGTGCATTTATACGGAGACTTGATTACACACAGGTGCATTCTATTTATCATCATCAGTCATTTAGGACAACATTGGATCATTCAAAGATCCTCACTGAGCTTCTGGAGTGAGTTTGCTGCACTGAAAGTAAAGAGGCCGAATAATATTGCACGCCCCACTATTCCGTTTTTTATTCGTTAAAAAAAGTTTAAATTATCCAATAAATTTTGTTCCACTTCACGATTGTGTCCCACTTGTTGTTGATTCATGACAAAAAATTAAAATGTTATATCTTTATGTTTGAAGCCTTAAATGTGGCAAAATGTTGAAAGGTTCAAGGGGGCCGAATACTTTCGCAAGGCACTGTAACTGATTTGAATGAAAACATATACAAAAGAGGTCAAGTCATTTCTACTTTGTTAAATAGTTAAAATGAAAAAAAAGCAATAACAAAAGCAGAGATTGAGTGGCCCATTTTAGACAATCCAATACTTTCTTTATGGAGAAGATTGGATGAAGCAAAAAGCTTATATTAATCCAATCTCTTTTCAAACCAAATCAACAAACATTTAGAACAAGGGAAAATGTGTGATTAATTGAAATTCATTGTGAATTAATTAAGAAATTAATACAATATACATTTTAATCGGCAGCACTACATTTGTGTTATTTTTTTGTTTGAATTTATGATGTATCACACCTAATTTACAATTTATTAAAAACAGTTCAGTCCACAGTGCTGAGAAGGCTGTGCACTGCGATTGTACACTTCTCTGTTTATCATTGTTTTAATACCCAAAAACACATTTACAAAAGAAAATGTCTATAGTTTAGTGCATGCTTCCTCTATTGTGTATTTCTCACACTAAACTATAGCTTGGAAAAAATCCACTGAGCCACGCGACGACTGGACCTAATGTTAGCATCATCCCATTCCATAAAAAAACCTTTCCTCTGCTTAGGGCAGCTCCAGGTTTGGTCAACATCAAGTGACACATTTTTATAAAGTTTTAAGTGTCACTCGGGTAAAATGTCAGAAAGGAAGTGAAGGGTAATTAGTTTTATTTATCGAATCGGATTCATCTAAGAGTCTTTTTGTCTGTTTTACTCTTTTTCAACAGGCCTTATTTTAAAGTAGCAGTATGTAATATTTGCATGTCAAGTCATCATTAAATGGACCCAATATTTCACAAGGCGTTATTAAATCATACATCTTTAACTGATAACAGTAGTTCAGCCGAGATATTGGAATATCAAAATTAGTTTTATGACCCGTAAAAGTTGTTGTTTTCATTTCGATGTCCCACCCTTCGCCGTTTCACCAGTTAGGAAGTGAGTGATCGTGTTGCCAGAACTCCCCGAGGCTAATCTAACTGGTAAAATAACAAGTGGCCGCAGAACTAAAAAAGGTCTAGTTATGACTCTCAAATCATTAATGACAAAACAAAGACTGAAACGAGGATTTATATCAGGACGCCTTTGAAAACTTGAGACAGTGGATAAAAACTTTTGTATGATCCAAAACTTGCTGCTCTGAGTGCGTTCTTCATTGACAGTTAAAGTACCTGCTTCGATTGAGCTAAATGTTCTATGCAACGATACTGTAATGGTTCAGCCCTGACGTTTACACCATGGCGACCCAGATTCGAGTCCGGGCGGAATCCGTTTGCATTATATATAATAATTATATAATATTACATTTTATGACAGATTGCTCAAAAACGGTAAAAGACAAAATTCAAGACGGTTTTTTGCAGATTATAGCTTAATTGTAAAAAGAATCATTTGAGACCACATGTACCCCAGTTAAAATAATGTCAGTCTCTTTTTGATGTGGGAAAAAAATAGGGAATTAATCAAGTTAAAGGTGATATCCTCTGGAGGAAACCCTGATGTTGATACGCTGAAGAAATATGTTCCAACATCCATTCTTCCCACTCATATTTAAGACATCAATTACTTTTTATTTTGCACAATCTATGCATAATTACATTGCATTTATTTTGTTTTGTTTTTATCTCAAATGTCCAAATAAAAAGAGGAGACAGACAAAACACTGATAATATAATTCCCTGTGTTTGCTGCTGAAATTGGTGTGTATCTGGCAACCCGAGTCAGGGAGAGTGGGAGAGGAACTACAAAATATTGACGGACTGCAGTACCAATTTTGGCCAGATGTTTACATACTGCTTCTTTAAAATGGAGAATTACATATAAAGTCAAACCATTACCCAGACTTGAAAACGTAATTGTTTTGAACTGCAGCAGTGTATGGAGTTCATTTATAAGGAAAGACCAGGAAACAAACTGCTGTTGTCAAAAAAATTGTGAATAAGCTGCTCTTAAGTCGTGCCGATAGTCATGAAGTCTGGACCAATCACAATCTCACTTTGTACTCAAGTTGACAATAGTTTCAAAATCAGATATCTAAACTAAAATACTGAAACTAGGGTCCAGTATAAATATTAAATAACATTACTTTAAAAAGGTCACATTTTACAATTTTGATAAAAATGTAACTATATCAGAAGGACTTGAAAAAAGGAAATGCCGAGGTATAGAGTATTATTTCTATGAGGTGTGGTATAATGACACTAACATGTATTTGGATTAGACTGTTTTCATATGATAGACGCAGTGAATGTGACGGTGCAAGTTTGGTTCAGCAAT